CGCTTTTGATGGCACAGCAGGTTTTAGAGCGTCCCCGTGGGGAGGGGTTGCGTGTTGGTGACCTGGCAGAGGACAAAAGGACTGTGTGTGTGCGTACGTACTGTATGAGTTTGAAAGGAGGTGATGTGAAGGGCAGGAACCATACCAGTAAAGCCCACTTTGTGCTACTGCTCAGTGTCACAACTGTCAATCACTGTCCTCGGAGCCAATGGGAGGGTTCTCAGAACCTTCCGGTGTAACCGCTGGGGTCGAGTCAATGGCAAGGCAATCCGTATACAGTCAGTATGGATAATAGGAACCACAGGGTTATTAAAGCAGAAACAGCTGCTTTAAGGGCAATTTAAATATTTTCATTGCTTTGTTAAATTGTACTATTATGCTCTTAAAAAGGTTCCTAAAATGTTCCTGGCTTGGATTAGTCTTGAAGGGCCAGATGTGATCTCATCTCACACATCTGGGGACAACTTGTTTAACTTCTGTTGCTGAACTGCACCACAGATTCCTCTAGTCTGTGCTCCTAACAACAAGCAAACCCAAACTAAACTAAAGATAATTGACTCTTACAAAGCAAGAGAAGACTATAAAAGATATGTAAACATTTAATGTAATCTAAACTGTCCTAAATGTCACTTACAAATGGACGTTAAGGAGAACTGTGGAAGCCAAGATGAGATCTGGAAGACCAAGACAAATCTCTGTAAACCTGGTCAGGTATGCAAAGCAAAACCCCCACATCACTACCGAAGACTTACAGGACAATTCGGCTGGCATGTGAATAATGATGCACTGGCCCACTGTGTAATGTTGTTGGACAAACATCATCTACATAGAGGGGTCATCAGAAGGTAACCTTAACTGTGATCTCATCATGAAAGTCACTGTCTTAAGTATGGCCACAATCACCAAAGATATGTTTGGAGACAATAGGAGCAGCATGTGATGAAAAGAACACCTTGCCAACTGTTAAGCATGGGCTGGATCTATTATGATTTTGGGTAATGTGGCAGGCAGTGGCAGAGGGAGTGTTGTGGGAAGAAGACAGATGTTGCCCATTGGACAATGTTGAGAAGCAAACCTGAAACTGCACAATCACAAGACACTGAATTGGTTTAGAATTTCAGTCTCCCTTGATTTATACCCACCCTAATAAGTCTGTGTTCCCACCCACATTTAGCCCAAAGTTTCTCATGGTTGTCCCCAGATGGCCTTGATATGAGATCATGTCTGGTCTTGCAAGACTAAGCTTCACATTATCTGGAGGTTCTTCAGGTTCTTCACACTCACAAATTATTGACAACAAGAAGTTTCTTTTTGGAACCAAATATGTCCATCTATGCCACTGCTTCAAAGAGCCATTTGCTGGGTGTAGGGATTTATAACTGCTGCCTTCTTCATGTGGATGTGTGACTGATGAGGGATGTAAATGATTTACCAATTAACCGTTACCAATACACAAACAATTGTTAGATCAGTGCTATCAGTTAAAAGACATTTATTTCATTTCCAATAACAGCAGTTCCTGTTTGAATTGGCCTGTTTATCATTCAAGTTAAAGAATGTTTTTGAATAGCACACAGGCAATTCACTGCTGTTGGACCAAAACCTCATATCCCCATTTTTGACGCTTTTCAATTTACATAATTTGAAAATACCCACTGTCCTTTTTATTATGTGTAAATTTCAAGATGAATGGACCAAAAGAAATGGCGCAAAATGACTTGGAAAAATGTCTGGTTCCATTGACTTACATTAAAAGTAAAGTATGTTTTTTCCTTTTTCTGTAAACTTTTTGGAGATACAAGGTTTTGGTCCAACAGCAACAATGAAAATACTACAAAATAAGCACGCAGCTAAAAATAAGGGTGTTCCCGACCACTTTTCAAAAGCCAGCATCTACAAAGCGATAAAAGAGTCAAATTAAAGAACCAGAACATTGCGTTTTAGAATTGATATTTTGATGGGTCGTGTTTTGGATTTCAGACTTGCTAGTTAACAATTAATCTTTAACAAAAGTTTCCAAAATTTGCATCCCTAGTGAATGAATATAGAAAGAATATAGTAAGACGATAAAAGGACAGACGAAACAAGAATGAATTTTAATGTGTAGGCTGAAATGTTCGCACTACTAACCCCAGTTTTATGGAAGAATTTTTGAAGGTTCTACTTTGCAGGAAAAATATCTGGTGCAATTTATTTTTTTTCTGTGTCCAAGTGCACAATATTCACAGATTCCATAGACTGCGGCAGATTTTATGGAACGGTATAGATTTCCTCTTGCGACTGACTTGGCCTCTATTGTTTGGTTTTATCCACGTGTTTGATTAACTAGCCTGGCTGATTGCATTTTAAGAATTGTTGATCGTTTTCTTCAGTCTGAAACACACCTCTTGTCAGTGGCACTGTGTTGATTGTTGATTGGTGGGGTCAAATTGTGACCTTGTGTCATGCAGACGGGGTTGTTTTTTTTGTATTTTAGTGACACGTGGTCATTGCGGATGACTCAGTAGAAAAAGTAAAGGCACTGTCCTCGATTTCAGCTGGTGTACTTCAGGTTCATAATGCCTCCGACTAAAAGGTTTAAAAGGTCAAAGCTCACCAGTAGCACTGCGGTGAACGGCATCAAGGGTTTCTTTAGAGTTGCATAACGTGCAACTTAAGGTCTACAAACGAAGGTAATCCTAACACTACCTTACACTCCAGAACGTCAAACATAAAAAAGTGAAAACTATCAGCTTCTTTTTATATATATATTGTATATTCATAGATATATTCCATTTTTTTTCACATTTCACGTCAAGGTTTTGGTGTTTCGTGACTCGCTACTAGATCTACACTGTTTTTTCCACTTGAAAGCTACTCAATGCACAGTGTATCCAAAAAAAGAGAGGAAAAAAAGGAAGAAAATAACTGGGAACGCACATCACAGACGATAGCTAAATAAAGGACACGTTTGTCTTTCCTCATCCACTAGAATCTAAAGTTAGATATGAATACTTCAAAACAAAAGCTCTGGTGGCGACTGTATAATACATCTGAGAAGGACACACAGGGACAATATCAGCACGATGGGGTCACATACAGGTTGAGTTTGAGTTTGGTAAGGCCTTCACCTCGGTTTCATGCATTGTCTTGGCGCAGTTTGTATGTTTTTTTTCCCTCCAGAATGAAAGAAAGAATGAGCAACAACACTCAGAGAGAGAGAGGGAGAATGAGAGAGGGTGGAAAATATCTCGGATTGATTTATCTCTGTGCTCATTGGAGCGTTTTCAATGGTGTCTTTGGGGGCGTTGAAGGAGATAATGACATCACATTTTTAGGGGACGTCACTTAGACGTCACTTCCTGTCGGGTTAGATGATGTCCCTTTCTCTTCTATGCAGTTTTTAGAGAATGTACAGCTGTATGCAAATGTTTGGGCACCCCTGGTCAAATTACACATTTTGCTGTTTTTCTAAGTGAAAAGAAGTTATAATGACATCTGCATGAAACAAACTTAAATATGACACAATTCTGCAAAGATTTATGTGTGATTACCATGTATTTGCTGAAAACTAAGATAAGATAAAATGTAGCAACCGTGGTCACCCTTTCAGTTTATCCACTAGTATTTTTACTCATTGGGTCTCAAGTAAGGTGTAGAGAATTCCAGAGGATAATAAATTCTGTGACCCTTCAAACCTTCCAGGGTTTTGTGCTGACATCTAATTGACTGACTGATGATCTTAAACTAAAAACTCTTACAAAACAGCAGAAGACTTTAAAAGATCTAGATAATTAATTCTCGTACTCACTGTCCGAAATGTCATATACAAATGGAAGCTAAAAAAAACTGTGGAAGTAAAGACGAGATCTGGAAGACCAAGACAAATCTCTGAAAAGAAAACTGGTCAGTATGCAAAGCAAAACCCCCACATCACTACCAAGGAACTACAGGAAGATTTGGTTGGCATGCGAATAATGATGCACTGGGTCATCAGAAGGAAACCTTCACTGTGATCTGATTAGGAAAGTCATTGTCTGACGTATGGCTGCAATCACCAAAGGTATGTTTGGAGAAAAAAAAGAAGCAGCATTTGATGAAAAGAACACCTTGCCAACTGTTAAGCATAGACTAGGTCTATTATGATTTGGGGATATGTAGCGGCCAGTGGAAAAAAGGATACTAAATATCACAAATTCTACAAGCTAATGTCCCACAGTATGTGAAGAAACTGAAGCTGAAAAGATGCTGGCTTCTTCTACAGGACGGTGATACAAAGCATACCTCAAATTCCACCATCAACAATTTCAAGAAACAAAAGACCGAGGTTTTGAAATGGCTTTCACCATCCCCAGACTTGAATATAATGGTAGTCTTTGGGTAGAATCTCAAACATGATGTTGATGCAACTATGAATACTTTGAATTAGAAGTGTTCTGCAAGGAAAAGTGGGGAAAAATCCTAAATCAAGAATAGCAAGACTGTTAACTGGCTACAAGAAACATTTGCAGGTGGTTTTAGCCAATGGGTGTTGTGTGAAGTGCTGACTGAAAGGGTGCCCATTGTCCAATGTGTTAAATTAAGCAAACAAATAATAACTGTACATTAAAATGTCAGGTTTTTCCATGCAAAGGTGGTGTTAACTTCTTTTCACTTAGAAAACCAATAAATTGTGTAATTTGACCTTGAACTTTTGCATACAGCTGTCTCAGTATTAGACAGTCTGAAACCTCTTTCAACAGCAGGGACCTCCAAACTTGGATATTCGACTTGGAATTTTAACGAAACATCTTTTGCTAGCATTGTTAACTTGTGTCCGTGGTAAACCTTTACACATACATTTATATATATTACTCTGTCTCCATCATAAATAGCTTTAAATCTGACAAAACGTTCGACCAGGGCATTCTGTACACAAGTAAACAGTATTTATCTACACAAAGAAGGAGGACAAGAGTCGCTGCGGCGTTTCCACGCTGCCGTAAAGTCAGTTTCATTATAAAACAACTGTGCCCATCATGTGCTGCTCATAATACAATATGATTATAATTCAGTGTGTCAGAAAAAGGTTCGGTTTGACTTTATCACAAGTATCACAAGCGGGATTGAACTGTACACGTCACGCTCATTTCATTAGCATTATTTAGGTATTTCAATTAGCAAAAACAATGTTAGCATGAGGGATGTAAACATTCTGGCTGATTGGAGATCCAGGGACTGGGCCTTAGGTGATCCTCAGTTGCTTGATGGTTTTCTATGATTAATTTCACTTGAACTAAAGAAAATGAAAGTGACTAGAACTATGAGAATGAAATGTCAGTGATCTAATCTGGTTTGCGGTTAGGTCTGCTGCGTTCATCGTGAGCAGTGAACAGGATTAACTTGCTCGGCTGATGCTTTTTTGGGTTCTTTTAAAAGATTACAGCATTTTCCAACCTCCATCTGCCCATTAGCTTCTGGTATAAGCATGTCAACAGGTTTTCTGTTCTTTTACAGGGAAATGATGTCCATGGTAATCAACCATACAACACATGCAGATAGACATTAGGTTGAAAAACACTGATTCCTTTAATGCCAATTTTAATGCCAGTGTTCTGACCTGAGTTAACAGTCCATGTTTAAAAACTCTTCTGTTTCCAGCTCTCCCTAAAAACCTTTCAGTGGCAAGGATCCCGTTTGGTTTTCGACAAGAGAATTATCTATACTATATGGTGCTGCATAACACAGCTGGCGCAGGATTGCAATGTTGCAGTCATTCTGTACAAGGGTGGCATGTTGATGAAGTCAATAATAATGTAGGCTTAAATTGTGAAGTCATTCCAAGCTGCCAGAGATAGATAGATTGTCTATTAACTCCCACCTCAAACTTCTGTTAGATGGACTGCGGAATAACTCAGAGTTGGAATGAGGAAAAGGATATGAAAATGAATTCAGCAATTTATGCGCAATTAAAAAACAAAACTGTTTAAACAGAACCTAAATTGATCTATCCGTGCTCGGCCCACGAATGTGTTCTTTTGTAGCAACTCAGCATAATGGGAAACTGTGGCGCGTAACATCTCGTACATAATGTATGTATGTATGTAAACTATTTCCATTGTTTACAAGTGTTAGCACTTCACAATACTATGCTATCATGAATTCTATGTTGTTGTAGTGACAAATCTGCCACCAAGCTAACCCCAGCTTGATTACACAACAATCAATCTACACGCATACGAAATAAATATCATTTGAAATAAACAACAGCCTCTAAAATAAGTTGTGCGCTGCACATTCTCATTAGGACGAACTGAATTTTTGCCAATGTTGTGTAAAACTTGTCCAAACCAGCAATAGTTGCTATGAAAAAATGCATTCATGGGCAAATCAAAGATACACAATACAATAAGTCTTTCTCTGTGTGAAAGGCAGTAGCACTTGTATGCTGCAGATAAGCTTGTATGTTGCAGATGAACTGAAATGTATGTACTATATGTACTGTATGTACGTATGACCCAGCGCTGCTGCACAAAAATGACCTGGGCAAAACTTTGCAGATGAAAGGGCACATGAGCTTGAGTGATTGTGATTGGCAGGAAAACGACGCGCGCTCTCATCTTCACTCTCTTCTCCATCCCTCCTTCTTTTCTTCATCCATGTGCAGGCAGTCTCATGTGGGCCATCGCTGGTGCTAGCTTGTCTATTCTCCTCCCTCTCTTTTCCTGTCCTCTTTTCCCACTCCTCCTCTCCTCTCTGGCATGGTCAGTGGCGGTCATAGGCAGTGGCAGTCGCCGCAGCAGCAGGCCCCGCCCCCCGCGTGGCTGCGCTGTAGTAGTAAGGAGATCCTAGAGGGAACACAGGAGGACAAAAGCGTCCATCATCCACATTAATATTAACGTTCAGGTTATAGCTTCATGGGAGGGGTCTTTCAAATGGGGCTGGAATTTATTCAACACAATTAAAAAAGGTTCTTCAAGGGTTCTTTAGTTAGGGCTGTATAAATATACCATGACAAATAAAAAAAAAACATCTGAATGCTAAAATGGTCAGTTTCAGGCCACAGAGCCACACTTGGCTGGACATCTTTGGGTGGTGTCGGTTAACCCAGCAGTGACGTGTGTAAAAACTCCAGCAACACTGCTGAGACAGTTGCACCAGCACCACACACATTACCATGTCAGTATCACTGCTGTGTTGAGAATGATCCACCACACAAATATCTGGTCAATGTTGGTTGTCTGGTCAGAAACAACATGTACCATAAGACCTTCTACTATGCAGGGACTAGATTGGTAGAAAACAGAGGACCATGGACCTGACTTGTAACTAAGTGAAAAACTAGGGGTGGCATTAGCACTCAAGCAGCTTTTGTATGGGTCACTGAAAGGGAGGAAACTGGCATGAACCCACACCAGCAGGAACTCCAATTTTCCAACTAAAGAATGGTCTAAATATTGAGACCATAGATATGTATAAGGATTATGCTACGATCTACATAAACCACAGGCATTAGTAGAGATAGTAATAAGCTAAACATATCACCGTTTTTAAGGTACTTTCTATTGAGAGGTGTCTGTCACAAACCCTAAGTCCTACATTTACACTTCTGAAAACAATAATTTAATATTGTTCAATAAGGTTTTTTTTTATTTTAAAGTGTAGTTGAGAGATTTAGATTTATCATGAGTTTAATTTTCAATAAAAAACGACTTTATTCAAAAAATGTTGTCCCACATTTTCATACCACTACCGAAACAGAGTTTTAGTTCATAGGCGGAGCCTTATTTTAGCCACACCCCTGCATTTTAGAGCAGGAAGTGAGACTGCATCCCTGGCCACACGCTGAGCAGTTAGACCCCCATTGTTTTGAAGTAAATGTATAAAGTCTGAAAACAAGTATGGAACATTAAGAATGGTCACTACCAAAACATTTGTAAACATGTTTTAATCATCATAAAGATATGATGATTTTATGTGTGTACATCTGTTCAAAGCTGTGTTTGACAGTCACGTATTGAAAAGCGTTTTTGAGTTCTTTTCAAATTTAGTTAAAACTGTCACTACCGAAACATTTGGTAAAGTCTTGGCAGTGTTATGATTGTTTTGTTAGTGTCAAAATGGAATGTTCAGGTATTACATGATCAGGTAGAGAGTATATATATATATATAGCTTATTATTATCTCTACTAATTCCTTTGGTTTAAATACATTATAACATATTCCTTGTAAATGTCTATGATCTCAGTATCACTATAAGAGTAGTGCTTTGCATGAATGACACTAACTGTCAAAAAAAATTACAAAATGCTGAAGAATATTAAGACTACTAATGATTAAACTCTCACCTTCTCACTAATCTTCTTTTTAGAAGTTGTTACAAACAATTCATTGTAATATAATTTTTCGATTCTTCATATTCTCATAAATTTCATATCTTTGACAGACAGTGTGGTCACCATTACTTATTTCAGAGAATGAGCCAAAAAAAAATTGGAAAGAGGCGTAACTGTCTGTTCAACATTAGCTTGATTTGAAGGTGGAGAAACTGGTGACTCTACCAGTGTTAGTCTATGCCGTTATTCTCACTGAGATCTAAAATGACACTGCTGCTGCCCGAGGCCATACCCCGCAGGAAAAAACCCATTTCCAGCCTATAAGACACAGATCCATCTCGATCAGCGCGTCCTGCCGTTAAGTGCTGATAGACCTCTCAAAGATGAAAAGCCTTTAGTATCACACAGGCTTAAGAGCAGCCCATTTTTCTTCATTAGACAGAAACAGGGAGAGAGAGAGAGAGAGAGAGAGAGAGAGAGAGAGAGAGAGAAAAGGAGGGAGGGAGAGAGGAGAAATAAGACAAGGGACAGAATTGGAGAGAGATGTTTTATGTTGTTGCTGTTGTAACAAAACATTCTCAACTTTAATGAATGTTAATGTAAAATTTTACTTTAAATAAAATTTTACTTTAAATAGTCAAGTAAATAATTTCTGTTGGTCAATTAATCATGAAATGTTGATTTGATGTAAAATGCAGTTAATTTTACAAGTGCTTTAAAAAACAAAACAATGAAAAAACAAAGGTAACAACTCATTTGAAGTCTACTTACACAGAGACATCATGATACATGGATAACCTTTACAAAGCAATAGTGGAGTATTTCTAAACCGCACCTCATAGTGACAGTATTTACATGATAAAATCAGATGTTCATGAAATAAATGACATTGTACTGACATAAGGGCCCTTAAGTGAAAGTGATGGACATTTGTTCCATTTATACGGCTGGTATGAAGATCAGTTCTATGAAAGAGGCCCCCAAACTAAACTGATTCAGAAAAATATGTAGAAAAGTAATCAGTTTGGTTTAAGAGCTGATGCAGGGTGTTCTTAACCAGGCATCTGACTTTAGGTACAGTTACAAGGGAATGATATTTAATGCCAGAGTTAAAAATGGATAGAATGTCCTCCACTTTAGTTTAAGGGCCTTCATAACAATACACTGTCATTTACTTACAGCACATAAAACAGCTCATGTAATCTTACAAATACTCTCTGTTAATAAATTCTCAAGTGATCAATTTTAAATGTTTTTTCAGTGCTTAGAAATGTGTTATGAGGTCTTCAGGTATGAAGTGTCAAGTGTTTGTGATTTAGTGGTCATTTTTAGTTCCTTTTTTATTTTACAGATCATCATGCTTGCGTATTTAAACAGTCCGATTTGTAGTAATACTTTAAGGTTTTGCTTGGAAACAAAAGGGTTAAAATTTTAAAATGGCCACAGCAACTTAATCAATCTTTTACTGAAAGAGTCAAAATAAAACTGCTACAAGGTAAAACATGTTAATGTCTGTTACAACTTCAAAGAAAACATGGAGAGTCTTTTACAAGCTCCAGAGTTTAAAGGTACAGTGTGTAACATTTAGTGGTATCTAGTGGTGGATTTGCAGATCAACCAACTGTATACCCCTCCCTCACCCCTCCCTTTCCAAGCGTGTAGTAGAAGCCACAGTGGCTGTCATGTTTTTGCTTCTTTGTTGATGAGGATTCACACTCTCTTCCTTTTTCTTGCGCTACATAATAAGTATGATTCTCCATTTGTCAAAATATGGGTTCTCAAACTTCTCAAAACACAAAATAGTTGTTCAGCACCATATGAGTTTTGACACATATGGCCTGAACTGAAGGCCTAGCTCTAATAGTAACAGTTCACCACTGGAGTCTTTTATCCAAAACAAGGTGTGAGAGGGTGTTAAGAGTTGACATCAAGGTGACTGAGACACTGATCTTTGTCTTAGAGCATTTCATAAACTCAAAGACTCGCAACAACGTCTGTCAAAGCAGCATCAACTCTGACACACTGAGCAAAGCAACAAGAAATCCCCATGGAATACACACACAGACATGCATTCAGCTCAAACTGCTGTCCCTTCACTCTATTCCTGACAGACGTAAGAGTCTACAGTACTGTGCAAAAGTTTGCAATCACTTGTCAAATTTATAATAATTTATTATAATTTAAAGGGGCCTAATGTCAATGCAACAGCACTTACTTCATTAAACATCTTGTAAAAACTGATACCAATAATATGGTTTCTTAAATATGCTATTCAATGCATGTGCATATGTCATGAAGTCCCTATGTAAACACTTCAAATAAAGCATTACCAATCATTTTGATTATTTTATTCCATAATAATACAGGGTGATTCAAAAAGATTCATCCGATTTCAAAATGATTGATTTCACTTGTAAATCATTACAGAACAATGCAGTAAACTGTAAATGGTTTAAATTAGCATAAAGTTTATTATGTGATTGTACAAGTGCTCAGTATGAACCTCCTCCAGCTGTACGGACAAACATCAACGCCATAGTCAAATTCATCCCATACTCGATTGAGCATGTTGGATGTCACTGCACTCACGGCTCTTTCAATGCGATTTCAGAGATCATCCAGTGTTGTTGGGAGTGGTGGCACAGAAACAGAGTCCTTAATGTACCCCCACAAAAAATCACACAGCGTGGAATCTGGTGATGCTGGTGAAATATGGTGCTTTGAAATCCGATGAATCTTTTTGAATCACCCTGTTTATACAAACTAGCAATATTATGAACTAGATATTTGAAACTTTTTTTACAGTTCACGTATTTTGGGAACAACAAGAAGTTATTAACTGATAAATAATACACTGTAATCTATTTACAGTAATTTCTTGAGAGATCCTGAGTTATCTTAAAGATTTAACCCACTTTTGAAGTAGGACACTTCATTCATTCTCTATGTTTTACAGCTTTCTCTGGCATTTTAAACATTTTATAAATAGAAATTGTCACTAACGTTTGCAGAAAAATGGCGTATTTTAGTTTGTTCTCTGTAGAGGAAGTATTAACTTTGGCATATGACTGTAATCACATTACTGTAATGCATTGCTTTGTACCACATCAGCTCCACACTGGTGGTGACTGAGGCTGGTTGTGTGCGGGTGTGGTTGCTCTGTATGTACGTGTGTACCTGCAGGCTGTGGGGTCTGGCTGGGGAACAGGCCTGATGAAGCTGCTCTCTCTGAGCCCAGAAGAGAACCATACTCCTGCTGGAACACTGTGAAGTGAACACACACACACATGCACATATCATCCTGTGAGCCTGGACAGTGTGTGTCGGTCAGAACACCTGCCTGCTTCTGTAGCTTTCTTTTTGTTTGACTTGCCAAAGCCTTTGTTTTTCTAGCGCTCACATTTTTAACCTGGTAAAATTTTGAAGCCTGGATTGTTTCTGTACTTTTGTCCATTTTTATAGACAGAGTCAGAAACTACAATCGCAAGTCTACTTGAGATTACTTAAAGGGCCCCTATCAGGGATGATCATATTGACCTATTTTTGTTTTTTAAATAAAAGAGATTGATGGTGTATGTATATGGAAGCCAAGCTGCTAAAATGGCCTGTTTGAAATGTACTGTTTTTGTGAAACAGCATGTTTACATACATCCTTCTTTTTGGCACACAGCAGGTAAGCTCCACCCATTTACGTTGAAGTTATAAGGAGAGTTTCAGCCTGAATTGCTTTTTCAATGAGGCACAATACAGAGCTGCCAATCAAAACAGAGCTCATTTAGATATATCAGTCTTCTGATCTGAGAGATAAAGATAGGTTGGAAAACGATCCTGTAAAATTTAATTATGAGTGTTTGATACATAAAATCACACACAAAGTTATAAGTGTACAAAATAATAAAAGGAAAAGAAAAATGTAAAAATACAGGCCCCTTAACAACTCAGCACAGTTTGAAGTAAGTGTGATGATATAGTCATGCAGTTTGGACAATGCTAATTGGTGTACATAAGCTTCCATTACTTGTTAGCTACAATAGCTAAAGAAGCAAACTTCAGACACTAACATGGCTCGAGTGGATTTAAAGTAAGGGGTGAATTGTGTACAGTTCATATTTTTGCTTAATTATTCCTTTAACACTCAATACCCATTCAGGCATAAACCACTCACCAAGCAGGCTGGGGTTGGGGAACCTCCAGGACTCGTTGTATGTTGAATACTGTGGGTGAGAGTACGGACTCCCAGAGAATTCACCTCCTAATATGAGAAACAAACCAAAGAGAAACAAAGGAAACAATGAGGACTTGTGGATTTCATGGTATAAGACTGAGCATTTGGAGTGATAGCCCTGCTAGAAAAACCAGCATATGCCAGCATGGCTGGTCACCAGCATATGTTCTGTTTTGGATGCTGGTATGCTGATCCAGCTAAACCAGCACCAGAACAGCATAAACCAGCTTAGACCAGCATGGAATGCATGATGGTCTATGCTGCTTTTTGCAACAGAGAGTAGAAACACGTCCGATTTCCATTTTGTATTAAAACAATTGGCAGACAATCATTCAGAGCAACTGACAATTTAATCATGTTACAGATGTAGGTGAATGAAGAGCCCAAGCAGTCTAATTGGTGTAGCGTAGTGTGTTTGCCCGGATGGGGAATCAAACGCCAGTTTGCCATGTGGTGAGCACTACACTGTACTAACCAAAAAACCTTTTAATGACCTAAAAGTTTTATGCCAATAGACGGGTCAATGAAAAAGAAGACTTTCAAAATGACTTGGTCTGATTGCACATTTGACTTACTGGTTGTGCCACCTGACTTTTCAGACTAATTTTAAACCTTTCTTCTTGAACCTGAGTTTGGATTTACATTTTTTCAAATAAATAAACATTATAGTAATAATGACACATTTACAAGGTTTTCCTGAGCTCAGACCACCTGACATGGTAAACTGAACCGTTCTAGCCATGACTCAAAAATCTAATTTTTTTCCAAAATTTGTAAAAGGGCTACTGACCTTGGCTTTGAACCACTAAGGTCACTTGGGGCCTTTTTAATGATGTAAAGCCCTTCTTTCATAAAAGCATGTTAAAATAAAAGTTGTTTTTGGTTGTGCCACCTGGCATTTGAGGAAGTAAGAACTTGCAGACAAAAGTTGTTCAGTGAGTTGAGGACTTTTAAAGTTACCTTATTTTGCAAAATCTTTTTTATTTTAAAGTTTTTAAACATAAAATCATGCCAATCTATTTTATTTAGATTTTTTAATAACTAAACTATCTTTTATGATAGTTTACTTGATCAAAATATATGGTTTAGACGGTTGCACAGCCTGGAATTTTTACACTTTAGGAGGCAAAAAGATTCTAAAATAAATTGTATATGGATGCACTGAAAATTGTTCCATGTAAAAGAGGCATTGTTGAATAATTTGATATATGTCATGTAATTAAATTACTTTTTGGGAAATAAAAAATGCACATTCAATGCAGTGTCAACGACCCAGGCCCTTTTCACATTTCTGTTCACTGCCGAGTTTGTATCCCCAGCTAACATGGCTAATCTATAGTTTTTAATACTTAATTTTATCACTCTGTAGATGTTAACTGACGTTATCTTACTGATAGCTGTGATGGAATTCTTCCATGAAGAATTTCTATCTTTTGTTCAGCTTGGACTCCTGTTGTAGGTCACCAAACACCTACAAAAATTCTGGACACATACCTGAATTTCAATCATGGCAACTATGACAGTGACATATCTTTCCATGGTGAGCTAAAGTGAACGGCAGTATTTCTCAGGTTAATAATCGTCTGTAAGGGAGTTTGTTTTACCTGCCAGTTATATATTTCCATGTCTTGTGAAAAGGGCCTACTGACTGATCCATGCTCTGATGCTCTGCCCACATGCATTTGTTGGTAGCTACTGTTGCCAGGTTGGACAAGCTTTGGCAGAACACTAGCAAAAATCCCAATATTGTAGTGAATTTGCTGTAATGTTTTGTTCGCTACATAACACTGAGTTGCCACTTTTTCAAGCTGAACTCTATTATTAGGCTAATGGAAACTTGGCAGGGTGGAAACAACATATCTGCCACCATGCCAGTGCTAGCTTAACTACACAACAGAAAATCTATATCTGATCTAGCCTAACAGGTTTTACTGCAGAACTGTGCATCCAGACCGAGAATCTTTAAGGGGTCTTTCTTTATAAGTGTGTTTATGAAAGTGGAAGACCCAGAAAGAGCGCATGTGTGTGTGAGAGAGTGTAAAACCCCAGCACTATCAACTGCATGCAAGTGTCAATTTGCGATGGTTTTTCTCCACCGTTGCTTCGCTAGTTTTCCCTCTCTCACACTCTCTTTCTCTCTAGGGATCTCTCTCTCTCTCTCTCTCTCTCACTTTGCTGACTGCCACAAGCTTGGAGGCCCCATCTCTCTCTCTCTCTCACTCTCTCTCTCTCTCTCACTTTCTCTCCCTCTCTCCCTTTCCCTCCATCTCTCGCTCTGTCGGTTCTGCCTGGCTGCTTTCGCGGCCCCCTCTTCCCCCCGTGTGTCAGCCCCCTGCTGAAAGGGAGAGAGAGAGAGAGAGTGCGAGAGAGAGAATAGGAGAAGAAATACACAGAGGAATAAAGTAGAGGATGAAGGGGGAATGAATGATAGAGGCAGGGAGAGGTGGGAAATAACGCTCGCTGATAATCAATTTTATCTCAAATTGATATTTACCTCCGCTTTTATTTTATAGCAGCATAAATGCTTTTTATGAGCTTTTTCGCACACTTTCGGCCTAAATGATCTCTCTGCGCATTGAGCCGAGATCGTTTGGTTTTCGTGAAATTAAACTATTACATACTAAGGCTTATTGTTCAGTAAGTACAGGGACGTCACTGCAAACTGGTTGAGCTATTCTTAGGTTATAGAAGTGCGTAATAAAACTTTGGGCCTGCTGGCCAGTCAATATCATTAAGTAAAACCGGGGAACCATTCGAGAGAAGTTGAGTTTTTCTAGCTTTTCACTTCATTTAAAGTATTGCTTTTTTTTTTTAAATCTGTCTGCTTAATAATGAACATATCTTTAGGATCATTGAGATATTTGCATTTTAGCTGCCAGCACCTTTAACCAAAAGGGTTATGCTGTTTACATTTTTTAGTGATGTAAAAATTGCTGATGTGCACGCTGTAATGTTCACACAGTCATTATGACAGACTGCAGTACAGTACAGGAAGTGTAGAGGGTGATATTGCTTCTGTTTCATTGCACCATGGATGGAACTTTGAATGAGTGAGTGCTAATGAGAATGAGACACTGTTTCACCTTACTTTCCTGCACTGGTCTTTGCTGATGTGTTCACACAGCACCTGTGACTCAGTCCTTGGTGTGACTCAGAATAATGTCTTATTGATAAAACTGGGTTTTTCCATTATCTTATAGGTTTATGTAGGTTTTTTGTGTAAAAAAAAATACAAACATAAAAACACTACAGTTCAAAAGTTAGGAATTACTTGACATACCAGTAATTTATTTGATTCAATACAAACTTGTAATACAATATTAACTGAAATATTATAGACTTAAAAAAAAAGATATTTTTGGAAAGTTTTAGAGAACAACAGAATCATCAATTTCCATTTGAGTTACAGCCAAGAATTTCCTTTCTAATTTCTAAATATGGTTTGCTTCGTTCGTAGGGATGCCACAGTTGGAGGCAAATCAGCAGCAGGAAGGATAGAGGTGAAAGTGGGATGGCCCATACGGGGTCATTGGCGCAGTTACCACCCCCCTCGTCATCTGGAGTGTCAGGTTGTTTAGGGAAGGAGCTTGGAAGATAAAGAAGAAGAAGTAGAAGAAGACGAGGGGGATGAAGTGAGGGAGAGAGGGACAGGGGGTCCCCGGCGAGGCGGCTAGGTGGCAAGGTCGTAAAAGCTTGTCAGAGGAGAGGGAAACACGGGGGGACGCGGGCGGAGCCTCTGGCAGACAAGGTTACGCCTCTTCCTCCCAACAAGACCTCCCGAGTCACCACGGCGACACGATGACAGGATGTACGCTGACGGCCTGAGACAATGCTGTTGTTGTTGTTGTCGTCGTCGTTGTCGTTGTTGTTTTGGTCAGGGTTTGTTTTGCAGCGTGCAGGGACTTGGTGCAGGCTGGAGGATGGTGAAGGATGCTGAGCTTCACTGAGTCTTTTGTTTAGTATTCCCCACAGCGAGGCGCTGAGAAAGTGGATGCTAGCGGCTCGCTATGACCACTTCTGTCCTATTATGATGCAGAGTATATCGAGGTGCATTGTGTTGCGTTTGGAATACCCACAGTTTTTCAACAGATAGTATTTCAACATCCCAAGGAGAAAATATCCTGCAGGTTATGAATAAATTTAATGTTAGAGTGTAATGTTTGTTTATTGTGTGCTGCTAGCATAAATGACCTGATCATTCGGTTTATTTTCATATATAACTGCTGTCAAAGTTAACAAGATAATAACATGTTGACATAATTCTTTTAAGATTAATGTGTTTTCCAGGTTTGACCCTTCCATAATTCCACCCTGTAGCTCAGTAGCAAACTAACAGAAGCAACAACAAAGTGGGAAGCTACATGTTCCCCTTGAAACAAGACGTAACGTAGCGGTTTGAGGCTACAGGAGGCTACAATGTCAAAAAAGGCAATGTGCTAGTATCTTTTTCATTCATCAAGGTACAAACAATGTAAATGGACCTTCAAAGGTACAACAGTGGTCTTAAGGTCCTACTTTGAATCTTTAAATACATTTCTCCCAAGGAAAAGGTGTTCCTTTGTACCTTTTCATCACCTAACTAATTTTAAAATGGAACAATAAAATAAGAAGTAAAAAGACTGGAGTCAAAGCAGGGTGTATGTAGTCAATACAACTTAAAAAAACAGAATTGCAATGGAATATGGTCAAATTGAGGGACCCCCCCAGTGACAGTTTAGTACCTTTTTTCTGAGAGCGTACAATCATGGTCATGTGATTTTATGTTCAGGTTCATGGTGAAGTACTGAAAGTAATAAATACATTCTGATGGAGCTTATTCTGTCCACTCATACACTCTCAGAAAAAAGGTAGTAAACTGTCACTGGGGCAGGACCCCTCTTGTCACTGGGGTGGTCCCCTCAAGGGTACATCTCAGTACCATACAGCTGTACCATAATCCATTGAAACTATATTTTCTAAGCTGTACTGACTCCACACACCCCGTCTCGTCTCCAGTCTTTTTATTCTACTGTTCTGTTTTAAAATATTAGGTTATGAAAAGGTACAAATATGAACTTTTCACCTGGAAAAACTTATTTAAGCTGCACAATTGGACCTTAAAACTACTGTTGTACATTTACATTGTTTGTACCTTGATGAACGAAAAATGTACTTGCACAAAACCTTTATTTCTAACAGTGTATAGCACTGACAACATGTCCTCCTTTTTAAATTGAAAAATCTTTCTTTAGTTTTTTTTTATTTTTTGAGCAAATAAGACACAGTTCTCTAGGCATACAGCTGCTTATAAACCTCTAAAATGCTAACTTACTGCACAGGAGAAGGCAAAAATGGTCTTTACTTTTAATGTAAGTCAATGTAATGAGATTTTTTAGACCATTTAGTCCATTCTTTATGAAATGTTGTAAACACATTTTAAAGGACAACTGCTCTGTTCAGATGATGAAAAAATGGAGATACTCATGTTTTTATATAGTGATGATATGCTACCATAAAATTATATGTTTTTAAAGATGCGGCCAAGTTGTTTAAGGTGAAATGCAAATTTAGCTACTTTGACTTTCTCTGTGGTTCTACATGATACGACCAGTCAAAAGCCTGTCTAAATACACAATATGTGGGTTTTATTCCAAACTACACAAGCCTTCCTACAATACCTGATTTAGTGAATGAATACTAAGTTAAGTTAGAACACCCTTTATAAATGATCACAGCCACTGCTAGTGGAGCTAAACCTACGGTCAAGTGCGTGTCCAGGCTGTAATGAGGCTGGTTGTGGAACGGTTAATGAGTCAATGGTGAGGGTCCCTGAGAGACATCGCCCTGACACTGTTGCTGTGAATATGATGCTCTGTTCCGTCAGAGCGAATCTCTGCGGGTTTGTAAATCTGTGCGTGTTTGGTGGCGGGCGGACCCGCAAGAAAACGCTGGAGGAGAAACAGAGGCTGTGAGAAGAGTGCGGGAGAATGAATGAATGAATTAGTCAAGGGTCAGCGGTGATTCTCATTAAAAACAAATTACTGATGTTGAGAGGGGACAGCTGTGAGACTGGAGCCTAATGGCCCCCGCCATTCTGGCTCGGAAACTCAAATACACCCTCACCAGCCCGCCCCCCCACAACCGACCAACCGACCATCACCCCCATACACACACACAACCCCCCCACCCCAGTCGCCCCCATCCAGCGTCCCAGAACCCCCTGGGAGTGTGCTGTCAACCTGGCAGACGGGGGGAGACAGGAAGTGCCAAAGACAAGCCCACCTCCCACAGGGACCTCAGCAGAAATAAAGGAGGGGTGAAAAGGAGAGAGGAAAAGAGAGAGAGAGAGAGCTGATCACAGAGAGCGCTGGCATATAAAGAACATAAGACAAAGACTACGACAAGCATTGTTGAAGATCCTCGGTTTTGATAGCTTTGTTCTTCTCCACTGCCATTAATCTCCAAAACACGAACCAAAGACCCTCCAGAGACTCCTGATGAGCTCACTATCAATTTTATACGCGTCCAAACTATGTGCGAAAACAACACAGTCTAGTTCTTTGGTTCGCATCTTAATGAAACACTCCAGAGTTTCTAAACCTGATATACAGTACTGTGCAAAACTCATCACGGCCATTAAGCACAAGTTATTCACTTTTTGGTAGATATATATCACTTAAAAGTCACAAAACAGGAATTCAAAAAATGATTAGAATCTACAGAGAGACTGGGATTCCTAGCAACCACCTGCAAGACCTGGTAGACCACAAATCAGATAAACAGTACTTTCATCATAAACAAAGCTTTCTTCTTTGAGAGAAGGGAGAACACCAAGCTGCTTCAGATCTGAAAACATCCACAGGTGTTTCTGTCCATCCTCCCACTGTGAGAAGACAACTCAGCACTATGGGTCTGAAAGGATGTGTAGCTGACAAGAAGCTCTTACTGAGAAAAGTAAATAGACAAAACAAGGACAAACAAAGAAGCTGCTGCTGTTCTCAGAACAATGGACTGGTCACTTTTCCTTTTGTATAGTAAATAAAGTGGCTATATTGTGTTGCAGACATGGTGACCCCTGGTTCCTATCACCACCACTGTAAAGAAATCAGAGTCTGTAAGTTTCTCTATAATAAACCACTTTACATCAAGGGCTATGTTTACATTTTCACTGCATTATGCAGACATTTAAAAAAAAATCAGTGGAATTCCCTTTTTAATAATTGAATTAATTAGTCTGCAGTTTGAGAGGTTCAGTTAAAGTGCTCTGAAACACCCACCCAAAACTGACTGCACTAATGGGATGGTGGGGTGAAAGGGCTGGAGTGTAGCTCTTGAGGATGCTGGACAGTGTGCATGTGTGTTGAAGCGCAGTGTGGTCTGATCGTGTGTGTTTAAGAAACTCACCCGGTACCATTCCTGTAAGCGAGGGGGCCGAGTAGCTGCCCTGTCCAGCTGGGGGAACGTGAGGTGGGTAACCAGGGAGCGTGGTGCTGGCCAGGTCGCGACCTGGAGGAGAAAATCACGTTTTTTTTATCTGGGTAATTGGTCCCATTACCTTGGAAGGCACATCAAAGAGCCCATATCATGGTTGATATACTAAACATTGTTAAGGTTTCAGAATGAACCTGGTCCATGTGGTCCATATGTGGAAACTGAGCCACAAACAGCCTGTTTTGAATTCACTATGGTTGTGATGTCACAACCCTGAACACATTTACATATGAATGCCCATCCAAAAAGAGGCAGGTTACTTTTTGTACATATGAGCCAGTATATTTGTACATTGTACATCAAAGTGATGTTGCCGAGCACATACTTGTACCCCAAATGTAAGGCTAACATACCAATAATGAAAGAAAGCAATTTCACTCTTTCAGGTTGAGGATAAAGACATCAAGCACTAGAACATCAACAGTAAGTGCAAAAGAAAGTAAACTAGAATTTTAATTTAATGTATTGATCGCTATTTTAGAAGATTATTACTTTGTAAATGTAAAGTTTGACAAGTGCAACATTAGCTAGCTCGGAAGCTATAACGCTAGCTCATATTGGCCTATATGCTAGCAGCTTGAGAACGAGTGGTTTTTGCTCATATTTTTGCACTCTCATGAGAAAATGGTACATTTTAACTCTTGTTTAACTGAAGTAAACTGAATATTTGTGTGAGTGTAAGTAGAAATCATCATGGTGCTAAAAAACCCATATTGTATGCTAATTTAGACCCAGCTAGAGTGCTAAAATGGATTTATTCTTGACATAACAGTGGATGCAGCATGTCAGAATTATGAAAGGAGTCTACAAAAAACATAGATTTGTAAAATTTTATTTACTTATTTTATTAAATTTTATAATAATAATAACAATAATAATAGTTATTATAATAGTAGTGGTATATGTATGAAAATGTGTCTCTATTGCCAAAAAGTAGCTGGTAAAAAATAAGAAAACTGGGGACATTACAGTTTTGAAAGATTTGATTTTTATTTAGTTTTTCATTTTGTTTTTTTTTTCAGTTTAGTTTCTGTTAGTTTTAAGGATGCATTAATACCTGTTGTTTAATTGTTATTTAGTATCAGTTTTAGTTTTTAGTATTATGATAAACAGTGATAATAGGTATTTGATAAGGGCACAATAAAGTTAACAGTAGACTGAGCTCAGCTCGTCTCCAGCTTTCCTCAAAAACAGCCAAACACAGAAGAGCTCCACTTCTAAACTCTGGAAAAAAAAAAACTAAAATTTTTTTCTCATCAGTTCTGTTTAGTTTTAGTTCGTTTTGCAGTTGACATTATCATATGATTTAGTTTTTGTGTTTTTATTACAGTTAATGAGCATGTTTTTTCACTGTTTTTGTTTTGGTGATAGTTTTCGTTAAATATAATAACTGCAGGCAGGTGCAGTAAAAGGTTAATTTGCCACCTGCACATAATGCGAGTGTCTTTATACCCTGTATCACAGACTCTGCCGTGACACAAACTCCATGCAGCCGATGGCTAATCTGCTAATCTGTCTGACTGCACAGGTTTTTAATGCTGTACTGGTGGTGTTTTAACTGTAGGAGTGAACATGTTCAGTCGTCTGACGTTACATAACAGGGAACATCAGAAAGTCAGCTAATGTGTGTTGAATGTCACGTCTGTCCTCACTTAGTCACCATAACGACACCTTACACGGTTTTAGTGGCCCTGAGAGTGTTTAAAGCTTTCTTTACTGTAGAGTCTCACTGAGCCGCAGCACCTGAGGTCACGCCTCTGCTCCAGTAACACAGACTCTGCTGCAATTAAACACACACACACACACACACACACGCACACACACACGCACACACACACACGCACACACACACACGCACACACACGCACACACAGACACACTCTCTCTCTCTCTCTCTCTCTCTCTCTGATGTGTGACAGGGTCTGTCTCCACTGTTCTTCTGTTATAGTTACATATTCTACATGTTCTTTTACTGCTCTCTCTCTCTCTCCCCTTTCTCGCTCCTTTCTCTCTGTTTCTTTCTCTTTCTCGTTGTCTCTCTTGCGCTCTTCTCTCTCCCACTCTCCCTTTCTTTCTTAATTTCTTTCTTTCTTTCACATCTACCTGTCTCTCTTCTCTGCCTTTCACGCTCTCTTCTCTCCCTCTCTCTCTCGTTCTTTCTCTCTCTCTCCTCTTTCTCTCTTTGTGTCTCTTTTCTTTTGTCATCCTTTCTCTCTCCTTTCTGTTTTTCCTCTCTCTCACTCTCTTTTCTTTCTTTCTTTCTTTCTTTTTTCTTTCTTTCCTCTCTGTCTGCCCCTCTGTCTTCTGTCCTGTCTCTCTCTCTCTCTCTCTCTCTCTCTCTCTCTCTCTCTCTCTCTCTGTATGTATAGCTGTATTAGGCTACATGACAGGGCTGTCAGGCTGAATCATGTGATTGTGTGAGTGTGGTGCTGAGCTGAAGATCAGAGGCCATTCATCATCATAAACAGCCCCTCATCTAGCCCACTCTACACACACGCACAGGTAACTACAGCTGAGCACAGAGAGGAGAGCGAGGAGGACACAGGAGGACAGAGAGTTCCTGAAAGAGTCATTCAGAAAGAGAAGTGTGGTGACAGTGAGAGAACAGAAAGAAAAGCTTATGGATATGAATTCTTTTCCTTCCTCCTTATACAGTAACTGTGTTAAACAAACTTTATATATTTATATAACATTTAATATTGTGATAATATGTGATAATCTGGTGATTTTGCCCTTAAAAAGTAATCACTCCATTTTTTCTGCATAATTAAATGGCTAAAATGTAAACAAAGTAATTCAGAGTAGTCTGATGTGAAATGAAGGACCTTATAAAGAAAAATAGTCTCCAAAGAAAAAACTCACATAAAAAAATTCTTTATCAGGTTGTGTGTAAATGGAGTTAGAAGGGTAGCTAGCTAGTTGGTTTGGTATGTCTATGGTGTAAGCTAACTTGTGGCTTGATGATTAGCTAGTTAAGTCATTTTCTGTGGCCTAGCAAGCTGTAGTAACTATGTACACTTCCTGAGAGCCTCTTTGCATGGCTGCTTTGCATGGCCATGCCTCCCACGGTCCTATGGCAGCGTGGCCCGGGGTTGGGATGTCAAACTATATAGCGTTTATATAACCCAAGCTTACATACTGTGGTAGCAGTGTAGAAGAAGACATGGGATGCATAGTGCTTCAAACGACTGCTGTTTTATTTACATGCAGCAGGAGAGACTCGCTGCCAGGGAGGCTGCTGCATGGGGAAGTTGGAGCACGGACACTCGGCCTTGACCCACCACACTGCAGTCATGCCTTGCTGCGCCGCCTCTGGCCTCCAGCTGCAACATGCTGGCCTCACCGCCAAGCCCCATTGCGCCAGCCCCACCAGCCTCCGGCCTCCAGCCTCGCCACACTAGCCCCACCGGACTGGCCTTCTCACTGGCAGGCTCTCTCAGACTACTGCTGTCCTCCAGCTGGGCTATCTGTACATGTTATTGTGATATTATGTGTTGGGATGTGGATTTAGTTGGGGGTTTTGTGTGTGAGGGGTGGTCCCCCCCTTGAGTTTGGTGTCCTGTATGTGCCCCTTTCTGCCAGTGTGTTCAATAAAGAGCACTTGTTGCAGCAGAATCATGGCTACCCCTGTGTTTCTTCTTCTGCCGAAGCTACAATATGTACGAGCATATTGTCGCTTTTGGGAAAAACCCTTGTATCTCCAAAGTAGTAACTTTACAGGAAAAGGAAAAAAAGTTGTCAACTTTAAATGGAAGTCTATGGAACAAGACTTTTTCCAACCATTTCTATTAGTCTGTTTATCATGAAATTTCAACACAATGTAAAGCTGAGATTTTCAGATTATGCAAAAAATTTAAAAATTACAAAAATGAAGATACAAGATTTTGTCCTGACAGAAACAATGTACAGGTGTTTTTGTAGACTGGCCGATGTTGCTGCTTAAATACTTAGATATCAGTGCAGTTATAGCTATATAGTATTCAGTATGAAGACTAAAAACTGTCACACCAGTGTGTTTAGGGAGAGTTGTCTTTTTTGAGGGGCAGTTGTAGATAAGGGACTAAGTTTGACCATAATTGACCTCTCTGCTCTCAAATGCATCGATTCAAGGTTGGACAAGCTTCATAGAACATTAGCAAAATTCCTCTTTCAACATAAGGAGCAACAGCACACAACTTGTCAAAACACAAAGAACTGCAATATAGAACACATGCAGTATTGTGCAAAAGTCAGAGACCACCTATCATTTATTTAATCTCCAGTCAAAACGGTCAAGTAAACGTTTTCAGCATCAGGAAAAAGTAAAAAGAGGCCTCAACAATAAAATGTAATAATATTTTTTGTCATTATTTATTGTGTCCACTCTTGACCTTTATTCCAGCTTCCATTCTTTTCAGGAGACTCATTTTGAGTTTTTCAAAGAAATCTGCAGGAATATTTTTCTACACCTCCAAAGTTCAGTCTTGGTTGCACTTTCTGCTTCTCATGATCCAAGTAATGTGAAACACATTCAGTGATGTTGAGGTCTGGACTGGGGTGGTCAGTCCATTGTTCTGAGAACAGCAGCAGCTTCTTTGTTTGTCTTCTTTCTTGTTTATTTTCTCAGTAAGAGCTTCTTGTCAGCTACACATCCTTTCAGACCCATAGTGCTGAGTCGTCTTCTCACAGTGGAAAGATGGACAGAAACACCTGTGGATGTTTTCAGATCTGAAGCAGCTTGATTTTCTCCTCTCTCTCAAAGATGAAAGCTGTAAGTGCTGTTTATCTGATGGGGACAGTTTCGCGGTCTACCAGGTCTTCCAGGTGGTTGTTAGGAGTCCATTCTTCATCTATGTCTTTTAGTCATCAGTTTTGGAAACCTCTGTTTTTTCTACTTATTTTCCTTTGAATTTCATCATCATCAAGGTCTCCTAGAAAATCAATCTTAAATTAAATAAATAAAGAGTGGTCTCTGACTGACTGTGCTCAGTGCTGAGTTATGTGCTACAGTTTCCTATTCAATGCAATTTTTGCCAGCATTCTGTAAAGCTTGTCCAACTTTGCAACAGTTGCAACAAAAGAAGCACAGATAGGTCAATTGGAGGGACGCATAATAGACTATGCAGTGTGATTTCAGTGTTAAAAATAAACATTTAAAAAGGCAATAAAATAAAAAAGGATAAAACAGCAGAGGAGCTGAGATAAAGAGTGAAAAAAGGAGCAAGTGGAGGGCAGCATGGATAGACACGTCTCTTTCTCTCCCTACTGTTCTCCTGAGCTGCCATGTCCAGCCGTTTTAGTGAGTGTGAGGCGACAGAGAGACATTAGTGAAGACTGGATACTAATCCACTGCGGGTCAGCGGACAGGGCACTCACAGGGGAGAGAGAGGAGCGCTCTGTTCAGAGGGAGAGCGCAGACAGGGCCAGGTCCTCCGAGAGCCACTGTCAGCTGCAGTGAGCATGGAGGATGGAGGGAGAAAAGAGAAGCCAGTAGTTTCTCTCCAGTCGCAGTAACAGAAGTCAAATCTGACAGAGCTGTGTTGGCTTCACTCTTTTGTGTTGGGTCTCTTCATTTTGTAAGGATATTTTCTTTCGGTATAATCAGTGGCCAATTTATTAGTAACTTGCTGCTGTACAGACTGTAGCTCATCCGTTTGTTTTATCCATCTTCTAATCCTTCACCAGTGGTCAGTTTCTAATAAAGTGGCCAGAGAGTGGAAGCACAAGTTAGATGTTTCTAATAAAGTGGTCAGTGAGTGGAAGTACAAGGTACGTGTTTCTAATAAAGTGGCCAGTGAGTGGAAGCAGAGGTAGGTGTTTCTAATAAAGTGGCCAGGGAGTGGAGGTACAAGGTAGGTGTTTCTAATAAAGTGGCCAGTGAGTGGAAACATAAGGTAGGTGTTTCCAATAAAGTGACCAGTGAGCGGAAGCACAAGGTAGGTGTTTCCAATAAAGTGGCCATTGAGTGGAAGCACAAGGTATGTGTTTCTAATAAAGTGGCCAGTGAGTGGAAGTACACTATTTGCAAACATGTTCTTTCCCTGTAGGGGGCATCCTTGAGGCAAAAAAGTGAATAACTGGTTTATTTTGATGAGCTCCCTCACTCTCATACACCTACACACACTCACACACACACACACACACACAGGTTCTGCTGCTCTCTCTGGATGGCCTCGACCCAAATTCCCAATCCCATGATTCCCTCGTTATGGCCCGTGTCCGAGGGGCTCTTAATTAGCCCCTCTCATTCCCAGTTGGAGCAAGAGATTGAGGAGAAAGAGAAGAGGAGTGAGGGAAGGGTGTGTGTTGTAATTACAGGCCTCCCTCCTTTCCTTTTGTCCCGCAGGGGCTGTAAAATCTGAATCTGAATCACGGAGCAGAGTTGAACAGGTCTGAATCAGCTTTTGTTCACCCTCAGAGAGAGCGAGCAGTTTGGCACTGAGCTCAGCTCCTCAGCTCAACTCCTCTTGCTTATCATTGCTGTCAGGGTAAAACCTCTTATCTCCAAAATGGTAACTTGAGAAGAAGACAAAGAAAAACTCTCTTAACTGTAAAGTTAATGGGACCAGATGTTTTTCCAAGTAATTTTGTCTTTAAATATAATCCAGTCTTTGACCCAATAGCCACTAATATCCACTGAATTCACAATGCGTCTTGCTATTTTTCAAACTATTTTAAAATAAGTTTTATCGTCAGCTGTGATGAACATTTGCTCTTGTATATTCTCAGAAATAAAGGTACTAAACTGTCACTGGGGAGGGACCTTCAAGGGTACATCTCAGTACCTTTAGTCAGGGAACATAATTGTACCGTAATCCATTGAAATTCTATTTTCTAAGTTGTATTGACTCCACACACCCCGTCTCGTCTCCAGGCTTTTTATTTTACTGTTCTGTTTTAAAACATTAGGTTATAAAAAAAGCAACGAACATGAACTTTTCACCTAGAAAAAAAACGTATAAACCTTATAAAACTTTTAAAACCACTGTTGTACCTTTGAGGGAACATTTAGATTGTTTGTACCTTGATGAACGAAAAATGTACCTGCACAGAACCTTTAGGTCTGCTCTCTTTCTCAAAAATTTCTTGCTAGGGTCTAACAGCCCTAAAATATGCACAGACTTTTTGGATCAATGTATCAGTGTAAAGCTTTTCCTTTTTTCTATTTTCAATACTTTTTTGCACAAAGCACCACAACTTACATGTTAGACTTCAGTATCAATCGCTCAGTTTCCATCCACAGATCTGTATGCATATTTTGACATACGAAATAAGAAAGACTGGAACAGCAAGTGTCTAACAAAATTGGCCAACTTTTCTAGGTTTTGATGTTTTCTGGGTTTAGCTAGGTTTCCATCCACACATTTTTATGCATATTTGAACAAAATAAATAAAAAAAGACTTGACAAAATGATAAATATCAAATAAAATTGTTAAACTAAACTAAATGACTGCGTGAGATGGATACACTGTTCGCCAGTAAAAAGAAATGTGATAAATTCTGATGTCATTTTATCAAACTGTTTACCAAAGATATTCTGTAAATGCAAATAAACTAATAACTGATTAGTTTTTTTCATTGTTATGTCACCAGTTTACTAATGCAAAAATTAAAACATACCTATATTTCATCAAGGAAAAAACATAATGGTGATATTAAAGTGGAAACAGCTGTAAGGTATCAGGTGGCAAACAGACAGAAGGCACTCTTACGATGTAATTTCCAGCCATAACTTTAAACAAAACAGTAATGAGAAGCTGGTCAGCATTAAAGCTTTGTCTGTAGACTCGATCCATATTTCTCAGAAGTGTTTTCACAAATGTGACATAGAGTTTTGTTTTCTTATAAAAGCCTAATGGAAACAGCATGATTCACACTATTTTTTGTTTGAATTTAAAGAGAAAGCTAGGTGGAAATGTGGCTAATGTCAGACTCCAAGCGTATAAAAAACTATTAGTGAAACCTGTATAGAAAAATGTTTGGTCTTCAGCCTTGTGTCACTGGAAAACAACTTCAGATCCAATATTAAAGCTACACTATGTAAGTGTAGAGGTTTTGGAGACCTCTCTGGTGGAAATGTGTAATTGCACACAATGTGTGAAAGAACATTTTGTAACATGGGTTGTGTTTAGGGCCTCTTCCCTGAGGGGATGACTCTGATGATTGTGAACGCATTGAAAGAGTATTCAACTCAGTCAAAACTTGGTGAAGGACATTTCATGTAAGGATTTGAAAAAATTATCTATTAATATCATTGTATCTTCATCAGCTTAATGTTAATTTTGCATTTGAGACCTAAGCATCGAGCTGGATCTTCATACATAAAGACCTGTGATGTGATCTGAAAAACTCAATCCACTCTCTGACTTTTAAATAATTATGTTTTTCTCCTCACTCAGTTATGCTACTTCTTTCAACTTTCAGAAAAAAATCCCACACAGTGCAGCTTTAAGTGGAACACCAAGCATTCCAATCTCAGAACAATCACTAAGTGCAGTTAATTACACTGCAGTTAATTACAGCTGAATGACTGAAGATAACTGATTGAAGGTGAAGGTGGGGTGCGGTAGTGTAGAGAACCCACCTGACACCAGCGGGTAAGACTGTGGTCCTGCTACACTGGGGCCCAGCTCTGCTCCCGTCTGATTGGCCAGACTGCTCTTCATCTCCTCCAGTCCGCCGGCCAGAGAAGCCATGGCTGAATAATCTGACGTCTGCTGAGAGAAAGAGAGAGGCAATGAGTCTCTAACTAACGCTGGCATTCAGGAGTTTTCAGATGATGTAACTTGTTGCCTTTAGATAAATATGGAGTTCTATAAGTGTGCGGGTGTGAAAACGGCTCAAATTTGCCTGCATGCGTTTGATACTAACAGTGACTATTTTCTAATACTAGTCCTAGTTATTAAAAAACATGTTAAGATGATGTTGTCATTTACCTTTCATTTACCATTTACCCATTTTTTTGGATGTCAATAAAAAGTATTTTTAAATGATTTAGCTCATTACTAGAAGCCAGCAGCTCAAAAACCTCATAAGAGATTCAGCCAGTTCCACTGTCAGCCGCAATTACTGTAAGAGTGTGTTTACACTGCTTTACATTGATGGCATTTGGCAGATGCTTTTATTCAGGGTTACCTCCAATTCTAATCATGTCATAGATGTAGGAGAATGTAGCATTAGGAGTCCAGCCCAAGGAGTTTTATTGATATAAAGTAGAGTTTTCACCCAAGCGGGACTCAAACCTTAGTCTGCCATGAGGTTACACATAATAAAAGTTTTTTTTTTTTTGTATTTCAGTACTGCTGAAGTTAATATAGTGTAGTGGCTAACACAACTGACCTCCACACTGTCAGCAGTTTGATTCTCTGCTTGGGTGAGAATGCCACGTTATATCAATAAGAGTCCTTGGGCAAGACTCCTAAAGCTACATGAATAAAAGTCTAAGGATAAAAGCATCTACTGAATGTTGTGATGTATTACAAAAATAGCCGTTAACTTTGTTTTTGGCTTTCTTGATGCTTTTCCTGCAGACTGATTGCTGCTTTTGTCATCACCATGCCCTCGTGAAAAAGAAGCATACTTAAGTATGTCAATAGTAAACTTGAAGTAAATAGAGAATATTAAAGGTTAATTTCACGTACTTTATGGAAACATATTTTTTACACTTCTATGCATGTTTTAAAGGAAACCTTTGTAAAGTAATACATTTTATATTACACTAATTACTCTGAGTGCACTGAAATACACTTAAATGTATGTATTTCTTAATATGCTGAAGCAAATTTAGAAGTATATTTAAACTGTCTTTGACTTAGGTGTCTTATTTAGAAGTGTATTTTAAAGCAATGACTTTTAAACTGTGCTTTAGTACATTTTAGTTGAAATAAACAAACTAACTACCAATCAAATATGAGTATCAGTACACAAGAAATATTTCAATTGTAGTAGAATTTGTTCTTAACAATTGCTTCAATTAACTTCACTGCAACATAAGTTGCAGAACAAAACATAAGTTGTTAGAACAAAAAAGCATGTGTAGGCATAGAAAGATGTATTTCAACATTACTTAAATATAATGTAAGTATATTTTGTTTGTATAATGTGAGTAAGTTGTGTTTAGTTATTTCTAATAATGTATTTAAGTGTATACTTAATTGTGTCTTATAAAAGTAAACTTAAATATGTTTCATTGTTGAAGTACATTAGTAGTATTTATATATATGTAGTGATGTTGAAATTAAATTTAAGTGCATTTTAGGTGCAATACAGGTGTAATAGCAGTTATGTTATGTATACATACAAATTATGTAATTAAATTTACTTAAGGTGTTCAAAAAGCACTTAAAAGCCCAACTCAATGCATTTAATATATATTTAATCATAGCTTCATTGCAATTTATATACACTTTAGTTGTTGTAAGTTAAGCTAAATAATACATTTAGTATGCATTATTGTATGTTTAATCCACTTTCATTATTAAATACACTTTTGAAAATTACATTTAAATGCCTCTTTCTTTCACGAGGGAAAGTCACTACAAAAATGAGACATTTTCCATGGCTGGTGGATACACAGCTGCAACTAGTGGATATTGTGGATATGTAAAGGACAGGCAGGAGCTTTAGCAGGAGTTAGTCAGACTTAGCCAGCAAGATAAAGTGTTAGTAAGGTAACTAACATTAATATTAGACATTTAAAACATTTGAAATGATGTTTACAACAACGTATATTGCATGATTTGCAAGTTAACTAGCTCAGTTAGCTAGCCAGCATAAAATGTTGATGACTTAGCTAGCATTAATGGTGGGTGAAAGAAATGTGTTTGGGAAAATGAACTGCTGTAGATGTGTATAATTATATATTGTTTTACTTCAAAAATCTTTCATGTTGTGTTACCCAAATAGCCAATGTGATTGTGAGGTAGCTAAGATAACCTTGACCTTCACTCTTATTTTGAAGTAAAAGTTTGGGCACCCTGGTGCACATTTTAATTGAACATACTGCAATAAAATAAAACCTATGCAAAAGTTATTGTGCATTTCATGCTTTATTTGATATTTTAAAATCAGCAAATGAACAGAAATTGTGCACTAAGATTTGTAGAAAAATGTAAGTTAATACATGTTTAAGTGTGATCTCTGTGGAGGATGTGTTCACTTATTTTCACTTAGAAAACCAACAAAACACAATTTGACCAGGAGGTGTTTACACCTTTGCACACGACTGCAAATCCACCCAAGCACTGACATAAACACCAGGGCACACAAACACATGCAGAAGCAGCTTAGATCCTGCTTCAGTGTGCCCCCAGACTGACCCTACTTGTGGCGTTTTGTGGCCCATTACTCATAATGATCTGGGTGCGACATCGCCGCGTCCCCGCCACTTCATCTCCATTGGCTGTAATGGTTTTTGTCAGGCAGGTGGAGATGTGCGGCGATGGCCGTCTTTAGAGGGACTCTCTGAAGGGAAATGGATGTCACTTCTGCTTTAGTCTGTTAGGAGGGAGTCTAATGATCCTGAACAGGGCCAGATCTCTCTCTCCTCCAGCTCTGCATTACACCCACACCTGCTATTAGCTCTCACTTTGGATACTAACAAGTACAGTAAGTGCTGTGATCACAGACAGTTCAAACAGAACACAGAGTCAAAAAACGAGTAAAAGCTACAGATAATAAACTCCTAACAACCACCTAGAAGACCTGGTAGACCACCAACACTGTCCCCATCAGATAAACAGCACTTAAAGCTTTTATCTTTTAGAGAACATCAAGCTGCACTCTTGCTTCAGATCTGAAAACATCCACAGCCATCCTTCCACTGTAAGAAGACAACTCAGCACTATGAGTCTGAAAGGATGTGTAGCTGTCAAGAAGCTCTTACTGAGAAAAGGAAACAGACACACCAAACAAAGAAGCTGCTGCTGTTCTCAGAACAATGGACTGACTACCCCAGAGTCCAGACCTCAACATCACTGAATATGGGATTACATTTACCAAACTCTAAGACTGAACTTTGAAAGAAAAATATAGAAAAATATCCCAGCAATTTTTATATGACCATTTTTAACCTCACTTAAAATCAAACTGGGACTTTAAGACTGAATTATGTAAATTAGCTCTGTCCTGATTGGCTTCTCTCCTTGTAACTGTAAGCAGGATTAAACTGCTGTAAGCTGAATAGGTGGATATATTGAAAGGTTTTGGTATTTGTGACATCACAAAAACAGTGAATTCACAATAGGCTGTTTTGCAGCTTAGTTTTCATAAATAAATTGTAAGAACTGGGGAGTAAATGGTACAATTAAAAACTTCAACAATGCTTATATAATATGACAATTTCAAAAAAAAGCAAGAAAATTTAATTTGTCCATGATACAGGCCCTTTGTAATCTCCACATAATGCAAACAAGCTAAAACAATTACAATTTTTCCATTGTAGCCAGTGGAGAAAATGCCTACCACCTTTTTTTAATAGTCAACTGGAACTAAGCAGCATGTGTGTGTGTGAGACGCTGTGACCCTTTAAACACCCGTCTGGTCATCAATACGGCAAGGGCAGTGGACTGTGACCCAACCAATCACAACTTATACTATCGGCTTCCTCTCTCTCTCTCTCCCTGTCTCTCCTTCTCTCTCTCACACTCTCTCTCTCCCCTTTTCTCTCGTTCTTCCTCGTTCGTTTTGCTCCTCTTTTCTCTCGGTGGAGCTCACTCTGCATTTCCGCTTTCTTTATCCGTGTTTCGTACGCCCCTCTCTCTAGCTCTGCGCCTCTGTCCGTGGTGCTGAAGTCACTGTATGTAGATGGGGGTGTTAGCAGTAGTAATTGGAGATGATGAAGTTTGGCCGTGGTCCTGACAGCAGCCTAGTGAAGATGGATGATTCTCATTTCAGCCTGTAAATGTTGTCAATTCTACAGCTCGACCAGCCATCAGCCCTCATCACACACACACATACACGCACACACATGCTCAAATCACAGCTGGGACAGGGACTGGAGAAGGGCCAGAAAAAGAGAGATGATGGGATAGACACTGAGTGAGTGACAGGAATGAAGAAGAAAATGGACAATAGTAAGTATGGAGGCCAATGCCTTATTGTGAAGTGAGATTAAAGGAATAGTTTGCTGGAAAAATTAGCCAGTTTTCTCCCTTTCGCCAAATGTAACCATTCAGCCAAGACATGTTTGGTGTATTAAGTTTGCTTCTTTAGTTTTGCACTGGAGCTATGTGGCTAATGTGGCTCATGAAAGCCTATGAGCACCAATTAGCATCCATACAACTGCAAGCCTAAATCATCACACACTTCAGTCAAACTGTGCGGAGTTGTTGAGAATTCTTGAACACACTTGTTTAATTGGTTTCTGACACTTTCATAGATACTGTTATCTGTAAAACAATGGATAAAAACATGTCACATGGCTAAAAACCGTAGCAAAAGTTGGAATTTTGTCTGTAATTTTGTCACAATGACTGACAGAAACCATCAGGGCATTGTAATGATTTTGGTAATTTTGTCATTTTTAGTTCATGTTTATTTAATAAAATCATCATACTGGTACTGAAACTCTTCAAGTAATAGTCTTATTTCATTGTTGTGGTTTGGTTATAAACAAAAGGGTTCAATTCTTGGAACAGCCAACAGAAAGTTTGTCAGAAGTTATTTATCAGAATAAACAGGAATTTCTTTTCTCCATGGTATCTACATGAATAGA